CACACACACACACACACTGGAGTTTTGTCTATACTATTTCCCTGTCTGCTTGTATTTCCTGCAGTGCTGACTGTGAGCTTTGTAACCATTTTGTCTCTCCTCCATGCCCATCATGGGGGATGCGAACCAGAAAGAAAGGGGCAAACCACCATCTTCAGTCACTGCTTGCATTAACCCCTCTTCTCTCTCTCTCTGTCTGTGCAGAAGATGAAGACCTTGGCCCAGAGACGCCAGTCAGCTCCCTCGCTGGTCATCAGCAAAGCACTTACCAGATCGAGAAGCACATCCAGGTATGAGCAAACACACACACACACACACACACACAGAGAGAGAGCTGCTGTGGTGCTGCTGACATCACTATTGGCTGTTGCTCAGTGGAGCAATGGGTTCTCTCAGTAGATGGTGTTACAGATGTGGCTGCTGCTGAGAGCACCACTGGAAGAGAGCTGCTGTACCAGTTGTACTGGTTTCTCAGCAGTTTGTAGTTGTATCATTTGTTAAAACCTTTAAGTTGACTTTTTCTGCCAGTTTCTTCCTTTTTCTGTATGGACACTGTATACCTCTCACTCTCAAACAAGTTGTGACTAATGGCTTTTATTACTGTAATATCAATAAATCATTTCTTATTGTGTTGTATTGCTTTATAGGTTGTGATTTTTTTTGTCTTTACAGCAGCAATTAACCACTGAACCAATATCTATTTACTAACAATGTGTTTATTTTTCAAAATGCAGACATTATAGGTTGTTAAAAGAAGCCTTTATTGGTAGCAATCCAACTTTTGCAATTGCAAACTTGTAATGATGACTTCTTATGGATGGTTGATGCCTGCATTGATGTTTTTCACAGAATTCTCTCAGCCATTCAGCCCAAGAAACACGGAGCCAGGGCTTTAAGGGGGTGATAACAGAGATTAGAGATAAATCTGGATGAAGAGAGTGAGCGGAAATGGAAGGTTGTGCTTCCTCTGGGCAGGTCTGAGTTGTACACTCTCCCTGGACAAATACAGATTACAAAATAAAATAAAAAAACTTTTCTAACTGACTTTATACAGCTAAGAGGTTGGCCTCCCCGACTCATTCATGGCTTACAGGGGGTTTAAATGCTTACTTCTCCCAAAGCTATCAGGCTTTTCATCATCTTTGTATCGCACAAATCCCTTCCTCTTCCTTTAACAGGGTCGGAAATAAGCCATTACAAACCCCTTGGGGAGGGTATTTCTTTACTAGAAACTTTGTCTCACATATCTTTGCTTTCTTAGGATTTTAGAGAAAAAATGTGGGAATTTCACAGAACATTAGAAAGTCAACTTGTTACACAGAAACAAACAACTCAGTGAAAATGAAAAGGATATGAAAGGAAATGCATCAGGATCTGTTGAATGTATGTTGTGGACTTGTGGACTGAAAATGCTCCTCAAAGCACTATTAGGCTTTAAAAAATAAGTTTTTGTGCAATCATAATTTCTCCAGTGAGCAAAGGCCAGGGGATGAAACTTGATGTGTCTGGCATGTTTATGATGTGTGTTCGAGCTAGTGGCAGTTTTTAGTGTTTGCTGAGGGAGATCAGGCCGGGCTGCAGCACACTGAAGTGTCAGACTGGACCATTTAGACCAGTGCTGAGGGAAACACTTCACACTGTTAAATGGGTCAGTGCTCCCAGGGTAGTGTGTGTGTCCGTGCGTGTGCTGAAGAAAATGAGAAAGACAACCCACATATTCAGTTTGTAGGCAGAGAGAAAAGGCAAAACAGAGCAAACTATTGAGTGAAAGTCGCTTAGTCTGACTAGTGTATGTGTGTGTGATGTGTGTGTGTGTGTGTGTGTGTGTGTCAGGAGGTATGGAGCCAGAGCCTGATTCTCTCAGCTGTCACCCTTAACCTTTGGCCTCTCATCAGGAGGTGCAGGGGCCAGTGGGAGTCACCCGGGGTCAACACCTTCCATGTCAGTGAGTGCGTGAGGTGTTCATTAATGTCCGGATGTGGATATGTGCGAGCAGGGGGTCTCACCAGGGGAGGGATCTGGAATTATAGTGGTCAGGTGACTCACAGTAGGTAAAGGTTAAAGGTCATGTTAGTGATCATTGTAAACTTCTTTCATCAAGTATTTTTAAGATAACTTTAGTTATTGATCTTTCTTGTTTTTTTGTTATGAATTTATACTTGTTTGCAAAAGCTTTCAGACATCTCCATGTTTTGGTAACTGTTATATAAAAACTGTAACACCCTAAAGTCCCTTTAATACACTTTTAATGGATACATCACTTCTGCCAAAAATACTTGGCCGCAGCTTATTCATTATTGCATCACCACTGTGCTTTTTATCCAAGTAAATCGCTGGCTCAGGTGTTATTACAAAGGGAAAAGTAACTGATGTTATGTATAATAACTGAGCGCAGTAAACAATTTTGAGTACAATCTAAAAACACAACTGCTTTCTGGTTTCCTCGCCTAGTCAGGAGGACTCTTGGTTTCAGTCATTTTTAGTCTGAATGTCTTTAATATGGCCGAAGTGAAAGAACCAGTGCGGCTTTGTGGCTGTCACAATTTCAATGTGGATCCACCAGGTCAACCAGTTGCTCTGCAAGTCAGAGCTATTCTTATGAGAGGAGATCTTTATCACGATGCTTTCCCTCAGGTAGATCACAGTAGTTTATTGTGACACCTCAGTTATGTAACAGTACTTTTTACTCCGGTAGGTTATTCTAGTTTTTCTTTCTAAACATTACCTATCAATTTATCATCACAATTACAGTTCTGATGACTAAATATGCAAGTACAGTTAAGTATTATATAAAGAGTAAATGTATGAAAATGTATGAAAATGTAAACAAGACTGTTTTTTTAATGAGCTATTACTTGTTTCCTTGTAAAAAAAAATAAAGATACTATAATTAATTTATGTTAAAGCTCACTGTCGCTCATGTTCCTTGAGCCTTTTGCACAACAGTCATAGAATTATTCTTTGTCATTTGATCCACTCTCAAATGTATACTTTCTAGCTCAGTATGTCTCTTTAAGTTCTTATTTAATGGCCTTTTTCATTCTAATGTTGGACTACTTTAGCTGGACACCTGAAAAATGCATATAAACACATAACTGATGGTTTCTCTTTTTCATATATTTCACAGCTTATACCTTTTCCTTTATCTTTTAGACGCCTTCTTCTTTTGCACCCTCTGTCCTGCCTTTCCCATCAGGCCATGAGCCGCTGAAAGACTCTCTGGCCTTCAGTTCAGTCACCTCCACACACATGCACACACAAACACACACACCTCATCCAGAAGTATAACCTCATCCTTCAGCCTCAAGGCTTACAGTACAGGGCATTATGGGTTCAAACTGGAGTCCCCTCCCCCTCAGGCAATGAAATCTATACTGCAGGGAGAAAAGTGGCTGTACCATAAAGTATAAAAACATATGATTGGCTGACCTGCCTGACCTCACACTCTCGCTCGCTTTAAGCCGCAGTGTCACCACAAAGTCACACACACACCAATCCAAAACCCACCCGACACACACATGCATGCAGACAGAGATACAAAGCACAGACATACATTTCATTCACATTTTAATGCACACAAACACTACAACAACCTCTCTGTCCATTCTTCTTGCAAGCAGACAGAGTAGGCAGACACATGTTTGTATAGACTCAGGATATTACTCTGTTTACTTAACCCCAATTCTAATCTCAACCTGAAACCTGAGTCCTAACCTGCATTAAGTTCTTAGCAAAAGAGAGAAAATGTTTGGATGATTTTTGTGGGATTTTTCTGGTTGTTTGAGAATAATTGCTCCTCAAAATGACATATCCAAAAACACACACCCACTCACACATATTGCAAAAGACATTTCCTGATTTTAATAATGAGCTCTGCTAAGGATATCATGGCTGGTCACTTCTCTTTCACTGACTGAAAAAAAGGGAAGAGTTTCGGTATTCTGACCTCATTCTCTCTCTCTCTCTCT